GTAGGTGGTGAGACCACCATAGATTCGGGCCAGGAGGTGGCCGGAGAAGGTGAGTGAAACTCATCGGAGCGGAGGGGAAGGGGGAAGGTTCTAGAGAGAACCAGAGATAGAGAGATAGAGACGAGTGAGGAACTGAGAGGGGTCTTGGGGGGTCGTTTGGTTTAATTTGGTAAGGGCGAATCTAGACCGTTGATCAAAATTGATCAATGGCCAAGATTTAATCCGGGTTGGGTCGGGTAGATTTAGGATTGGGCTTGGGTATTTGGGTTGGTTTAATTTGGGTTGGGTATTGGGTTTAATTAGGCTAAATTAGAAGGCCAAATCTGGCTATAAATTAAATAGCCCTTTTTTCCCCATTTAATTTATAGAAAATAATAAATAAATTTCTGAAAATAAATTGAAAGCACTGAAATAATTTATAACATATAATTATCGATTTAAAAATATAAAATCCCGTTTTATAAATATGAGACGAATTTAAACCTAAAATGGCTAATATTGCAATTATGCAATTTTATCCTTAAAACTGCTAAATAAATTTGTAAAAATATCTTAGCTATATTTTAGTATAAATATGAGAATCCAATAAATGAATCACCAAAAAATAATAATTTTGGTGACAATTATTGGATTTTTCTTGATAAAATAGGGCAGTAACTTGATTTAAAAATCTTTGAAAAATTAAAGAAAAAAATAATGTAACTTCCGGATATACTTATATATGCATATATAGGCTATTTTGAAGGTATTTTGCATATTTTAAAAAATACAGGGAAAAATTGGGTATCAACAATAAGTTTTCTTCTCTTCTCTTAATCATGAAGTGTTGAATCTTTCGAATATTTCTCAAATTGGGCTTGTTTCGATGTCGGGTAACCCTCGTGTGAGTTGTTGAATCAGCCACTGGAGATGAAATTTTGAGTTTTCTGGTGAAAGCGTAACATGTTAACAATGGTGATTATTTCTAAAAAATTAGTAAAGCAAAACAGAAGAAGTAATGTACTAGCGAAATTCTAACAACTTTAATACTTACCACAACTTTTTGGAGCAAAAAAATTTGAAAATTTCGCGAGACAATGGAGATGAATCAATGGAGAATCGTGGTTGTATTCATGGAGAATAGACTGGCATTGAGAGAGAGAGAGATGGTGGAGAGAGATCGTGATTTCTGAAGTTGTATACTATACGGCGGTCTTGTGAGAGAAAGAACAGAAAGTAGGAGAGAGAAAAATATTACCCAGCTGACCATAATACATATTTTGCTATAAAACCTAAAAGGTAGTTATAGAAAATAATATTTTAAAAGGATATTTATTTATGATAAATAAGGTGTAAAGTTTTACTATAGGAGGTAAAATTTTCTTTTTTCTTAGTGGTGCTCCTGCCACCTATAAATCCTGGATCCGCCTCTGCATCAAATAGGATGTATAACTAATACAAGTACTAGTTATACATAGGGTAAAAAATATACCTAATAAGGGATTAATAATGCACAAAGCTAATGCTTGTATTATTTTTTCTAATACCTCCTACCCAACCATCCCTATAACTATTAAGATGATATATAGCATTGCTGCCCAAGAGCACGTGATGGAAAAAAGTGGCTTAGGGGAAAGTAGCAGTGAGGGATAAAAAATTACGAATATATATCTATATCTATATCTATATTATTATAAAAGCATGAATATAATGTCGATAGACTAAAATAACCTTAAAATATTAATCAAAATGTAATTTATTTAGGGTAAAATTGTCATCACAAATAATTAGCTTTGTAATTTATTTAGGTTTCTTTTGATAGTCCGTGTATATTTATTTGGAGTTTGTTTTAGGTTTATTAATTAGCTCATTATTTTATTGTGATTGTCTACATTAGCCTTAGAAGTGTGAAGGAAAATAAATGTATGAGAAGGATCAGTAGTTTTATTTAAAAAATAATGTATTTAGACCAATATGCTAAGAGTGAAATCTTTATATCATATGTGAAAAAAAGGAAAACTAGAAGTCAAAAAGAATGGTGATAAAAAAATTATAACAATCTGAATGATAGCATGTGCCGATAGACTCCAATACTAACATTGTTGACTTCCAACTAAGATCATAAGTTTCTCCTTCATCTTGCAGTTCTTAAATAACCAATAACAAGAAGCAAGTTAATATGGTTCAATCTCATATGTTCACAATAGTCTTCCTTGCCTAATTCGTCCATAATTAACTAAAAATAATTGTGATAATAAAGTATCTAATCACAGTATAAATATCTAAAAGAATGGCGTACGATTTTCGATATTTTCATAATAAATAACACTTTTCAAGTAACAAGTATCCATATTCTTATGTCAACATTATTAAGCAGTTTAGTGTGTTACGTGTGAGGCACGTATATAGAGATTAGTTTATTAAAAAATCAGTATAGTAAGAAGAGAACATATTTTCTTTAAATTTTCAAAGGAATAAATGTTAATGGGCATTAAATTGAAAAAAAAATAATAATAATAATAATAATAATAATAATAACAACAACAACAACAACAACAATAACAATAATAATAATAATAATAATAATAATAATAATAATAATAATAATTACAACAACAATAACAGTAGTAGTACAGTCAACACTCTCTACAATAGACTCGTTTGTTCCGATATTTTTTTGCTTTTATAGTGAATGATCGTTATATACCTATAACAGCATTTGACGTTTAAATATTTTTTGGATGTAATAATAAAATTCAAAAAATAATTATTCTAATTTTCCTTTTTTAATGATACATATAAAAGATAAGAAAACTATTCAAATTTAAATCACAATAGATATGCTTATTCAACTAGTTAAATATTGAAGAAAGCTAATACATATTAATAAATTCATAACTAAATTTATACATAATTAAACTGTAAGGCAGACATTTTAAAGCTACCTAGAAAAATAAATTCTTTCAAGATTGATGGAAGAACTTTGTAATTGTAGCTTGTTTCGTAGATTTTAATCTCTTACTAATATAACGCTTAAATTGGCGAATGTTCGTATCCAAATTTTTAGCAAAAAGGTATCCAATAGCTTTCCCTCGAAGACAATCGAAGAGCTTAAGTGCAAATCTTCAGATCTTATATATTATGCAAGATAGTAACTTCTTTAATGGAGTAGATTGTGTCCATATTTTTAGAATTATTAGTAATCTTAAAGATTCGATATGGTTGTTATAGAGGTATAATTTTACAAAGAGCGTTCTATTATAAATATGGTTGTTGTTATAGGTATAAAGCTGTTATAGAGGGGTAAAATATAACATAAAAAATTAGTTCTAAGAAAAACTTGGCTTTTATAGTGAATAATTGTTATATAGGTATGTTGTTATAGAGAAGCCTGACGTAGTAATTTATCATTTATCTTTTCTTACCGTATTTATCGTTTGTCATTGTTATTATTAGTTGTTAGTATGATTAGATTCCTAAGTTTCCTAGTTGACGCACACGATAACTAGGCTCGACGCATTATGCTATTTGTTTTCTTATTTGTGTCGGACGGAACAGGTTTCTAACTTTATACTCTGAAATTCATACATTCCTAAGTGAGCGAAAGAAAACGTTCCTAATTGACGCACACGGCACGCGATAATTAGGCTCCACGCGTTCAAGGGCGGCTCCATGAAATTAATGGCCTAAAGCCAAATTTTAATAAGAGACCTTATACTTTTTTTATTAGTACGTATACACACATATATGCAAAAAAATTAATCTTGCCATTTGTTTCATACTTGTTGTTTATAGTATATATTCTTAAATGACATAAAGTCTTTAACTTCACATAGAATATTATTATTTATATTAGAGAAGAAAATTTAAATAAATGAGATGTTAGACATGTATTTGCAATATGTTACCTTTGATATTGTTGTAAATTTACTAATATGAAGATTTAAGCAATTTAATTCAAAGTATTAAAAATATTTTTACTGTTTAAGAGTAGACGCCTTTCTTTTCTTTTTTTTTTATACAATTTTTTTGTATTTTTTTATTTTTTCTACAAACATTAATATTGTCTAATTTGAAGTAAAATTATAAAATTCATTATTAAAAATTTTGGGGGACCTAAATAAGGCTTTACTAGTCTCCTACTAGAGCCACTTATCCACCTCTGACGTTCTCAATCAAATTTATAGAGTCTCACATAATATAATGCAACAATGATAAGAGCATTAAAGGCAGTGAATTTGTCATTCAGTTACCAAATGTGAATGAAGCTAGTTGAGCAGTACGTTTATAGTGGGGCAGTAGTCTATAAATAATTGTTGATTGTTAATGAGGGACGGCTCAACAGAACTGGTGGCCTAAACTAAAATATAATAAAAAGACCCTGAAACGTCTTTTATAAAATCCATAAAATATTGAGGCACAAAAAAAAACATACATGACTTTGATATAGTGGTGAGAGCGCAACTCATGATGTATGAGTTAGGCGCGTGTCATACGGTATTGAATTCTTCCCTTAAGTGAAAATGATAAAGGGTGAGCCCATTATTCATCATGTTTTGGACCTTGCGACATTTGCCTCGGGGATTTTTTAGTTAAAAAAGATGAGACACAAAAGAACTTGCTTTCTGGTGTGTGGATCACTCAAATGTGACAAGAAGGAATAGTTAATTTAGAGAATTTGAGTTGAAATTAGAAAGTAAAATCGTAAGAACCATGAAAAAAGACTATACATAAAAAAAAAAAAGAAAACTGATGAGAAGGTAAATATATTATTTAATTTAGTAAGAAAAAGTTATCCAATTAACTCACTTAATCTTACGTCTACCAAATATTAAAAATAATTAAAATTTAAAATCTTTTATTAATAATCATATAAATATAAATTATGGAATATATATTATATAATAATATAATAGTACTTCTTATTTTGGGGGCCTTAATTATTTTGGGGGTTAAGGCAAGGGCTACACTTGCCCTTTGACGCGTTTCCTTATTTGTGTTCGAAGGAAAAGGTTTTTATATATACGTAATAATAATCTAAATTATCATATCATTCATTCATGTAATACAATGAAGGCAGACAAAAGAGCACTGTTAAAGAGAAAGGCTTGTGTTTTGAAGAAGACAATGGAGCTTTCCATTCTCTGCGATATCAAAGCCTGCGCCATTATCGTTGATGCCGACGGAACTGTAGAATCTTGGCCGAAATATCCCACTGATCTCAACCCAATTCTTGATCGGTACAAACAATATTCTCTGAAAAAGCAAAAGAAGAACAACGATGTTGTTGTTGATGTTGAGAATACCAAGGGAAAAGAAAATGTTTTGTTGGCATTGGACTCAAAAATTGAGGCTGTAAAGAGAAGAATTGAGTTCTTGAATGGGAAATCAATTACCGCTATGAATTCTGATGGTGATGGAGAAAGAGAAGAATTTGCTGAAATATTGAGCGATATTATAGGAGGTGGTAGCAACTCTGTTAATGCTCAAGAATTTGGTCCAACTGAAATACAGCCATGCGCTTACTGGGATGGAGAGATTGGGTTTTCTACTGCTAATTATGATCAACAACTTGAACTTGATCCAATTGAACAGCCTTGCTCCAATGGACATTATGGGCTATCTGGGAACAAAAATAATACTGCTGATGTTGATTTTGAATTTGATTTATTGATGCAAGATGAATACCAGTTCCATATCTTCTCACTGTTGGCCCCGGAACATGGGCAAATTACCTTTTGCTAATTCTTATGATTTTTTTTTTATTTTTTGTGAAAAAATAGGCAATTAACGTTGATATAGCTTTGGCAACAGAGCATGGACGTACTAGATTTGCTAATTCTTGTGATGTTTTCTGAATTTTTTGGTCAATAATGTATTGACAATTCGTTACGAGTTCAATAAGATTTGTTATGATTTTGCTCTTTTGTGTATTGCATTATGCTAGACTAGATAGTGCAAAGTGCATGAAACAGGGAAATTAACTATTCCTCTAGTCTGTTCTTGGTTTTCTTTTTTGGTTTGTGGCATCCATGAATTTGTGAGAAGTTAATGCTTGGGTAAATGATTTTGTAATGTATCTTTTCGCCAAACCAACAATTTTTATAAGATTGATTTCTTCTGAATTGAGAATTATGTGGACATTGTGACTAAAGTGTGATACACTAGAATAAAATAATTAATCTCTCTTGGTGTCTTCTTAAGGAAAAAATTTAGAAATAGCCAGATTTTCAATTGGTAATCGAAGAAAAACCACAGTTTCAAAAGTAATCAAAATTTAGCCATTTTTTCATGCAAAGATAAAATCTGAACAAAAACACCCTTAAAATGCGGTCCAGCATGATATGCTGGAGTTTTAATTTTTTACTTATGAGATTCCAGCATAATGTGCTAGAGTTCTAACAAAATATGCTAGAAATTTATATGCAGGAGCTCCATAATCTATGCTGGAACTTTCCGTATTTCAACAAAATAGTGACTATTTTTCAACGACTTTACGAACGTTGGATATTTACTGGCTAGTCCATGCTATTTTCACTCTTCTTAAGGCAACAACTTGAAAATATCGAATTAACCGAACGTTTTTCACGAAGAACGCAAGAGACGGCAACGCAAAAGACAACAGCTAAAGCCACCACAGTGAAAACACAACAAACATCAGTTCCTAAACGCTTCTGCTAGAGATTCAACTTTTCTCCTCAAGTAAACATAAACATTAATCTAGTAAGCAGTTTCAACGTTTGAGAGCCTACATGAGGGAAAAGGGAATTATTGAACTGAGAAAGAAGCTACTAACATTCCTTTATGATCCTGACAAAATGTGTTAAGATAGAATGTGTTGTATCAATTCCAATACACTAGTACAATATAAGAAAAACGAAGTTCAGCTGTTTCCTTTCTGTTGGAAGTAGCCATAAATAAAGCAACAGTTCTGTTAGTTCTTGTATAAAAAGACGGGGGAAAGACCGAGCTGCTGCGGTATGCCCCCTATCCTTGGGGTCTTCATGAATGGAGATGACAAAATCCAGTAAAATTCTAGTCATGATCTTTCAGTACAATAATATACCATCCAGCAGGCCCTGATAGCTGTATTGCCAATAAAATGAAGTTGCTGAACACCAGCCAGATCTAAATCTCTGCCGTTCAAAACTGATACAACTAAGAACTAATTGCGCTTCTTTTCTAAATTTGCTGCAAGACGACGTTGCCTTTGCTTCCAGGCAGGCATCTTACCAGGGAAAGCCCACCTCAATGACTTCTCCCAGGCATAGCAGACCAAAAATGTCAGGAATGCCCAAAGCAGCAGCTTATCTCTCAAACCTCTTGGCATAGGAACTAACTTCAACCAGTCATTTAAGTCCCTAAACAAATCAGAGGTGATAACTGTGAAGAAGCCCACAGCAGCCAAAAGGGCGTATAAGAATGGCTTGTTTTCGGGTATGCTTTGGTTGAAGGGGTGGCCCATGTAGTTCACAGCAAAGGTTGCTACCTGTAGCATCAATCCCACCATGTATGAAACTGTATTGACAAGGTTTGGATGAAAATCGGAGTCTGGCTCAATGCACTCATCAGGCATGTACTTGCTAGCCTCGTTAACAGAAGAAATTAAGAAAAGCAGATGGATAGCAAATTGTCCCAGAAGGGAGAGGAAGACATAGGCGCAGAAAATATTGGGGTGAGGTCGTTCGGCTGAGAGGGTTGGAAGGGGCCGAGCATGTGAGATAAATAGAAAGAAGGCTGCTGTGAAGACCCCACTGATTGTAGCTTGAACATCACCTAACTTGACACCATCCAAGTACATTACACTCAGGACATAGGCAGTAGCAAGGCAGTTAAGTCCAAGAATCTTAAACATCTGCAGGGTGGTCACCAGGGTACTACGACCTTGACGGATGATGTCAGTGGTAGGGCAGACTGAAGCATGCTTTGCAGTGAATGGCGATGCCATTGAGGCATCCCCAAGTTTCACAATTGGTGCCTGACCATCAGCTCCTCCCTCATTAAGCTCATCCATAAGTTTCTTGAGCTTCTGCTTCTGCATCTCTGCAGGTGTAAGATGGCGATTGGTGGCTTGGCTGCTGGTAGCTCTACTTTTTGAAGTGCCTTCTCCGTTTTCTGTAGCAGGTTTAAGTTTCTTTGCCTTGGCAGGTTTTGCAGTATCATTCTTAGACGATCCATCAGATAATTTTTCCTTCTTAGGGGGAGGTATTGCATTAAGTAGAGCTACTCCCACATGTGCCTGAAAGAAGCAAATCCCACGAGTCTCAAAATATCGGAAAAAGTAGTCACACAAAAAAAAGGAGGAAGAAGGATATTGCAACAAAGAAAAACCATAAAGCAGGCCAAACAGCAATGCTTCAAAAAAGTGCAATAAACTGCATCTCCTTCTTAGTATAACTTATGTTGGGACGGTGAAGATTGACGGAAGAAGCATAATGCAGTACAGCAAAACCACAAAGCAGGCCAAGAAGCAATGCCTAAAAAAGTGCATTAAACAGCATCTCCTTCCTAGTATAGCTTAAGTTGGAAAGTGAAGATTTCTAGTTAAACCCCTTCAGATGAGATGCAAGGGACAGAAAGTAAGGGGAAAAGAGGGCCAGAGGGGAGAGGTCAGAGCATAGACAGTACCTGCTCACACAAAATACCATCATTACAAAGAAATTAACAGCAAATAAGCTTATAAACTACACATGATCAATCTTTTAGTTATGTATCACGACGTAGCTAGGCTATGGCAGATCACACCTTTTAAAACATGGGCAGACGGACACTTCATTTTTCTAGATGTGCTCATGTCAAACAAGTGTGACACCAAGTATGGGTACTCCATGTGGATCTATCAAGATACACAAAACTTGCTGAAAAACTTGGATGCACACCTAAAGGATAATTACCCACGCCATACCAGCTTGTACCTAAGCATAAGATAAATGGGGCTCTTTTCCTGCCATGGATCAAGGTGCTAAAGTAGCCTCCAATATGTTTAAATTTTCATTTTCTGAAAGGTCTAACAGGGTTTCCACAGGTTACTGCACCCATTTGAAAACAACAAATTTATTAAAGTAAAAACGATGTAATACCTGCTTTAGAGCTCCAACATCATTAGTCCCATCACCACACATCAACGTCATCCTTCCCACTGACTTAAAAGTGGTTAATATAAGTTCTTTTTGCTCTGGGGCAACTCTTGCAAATACCTGGGTAAAGTGATACCTTTGTCAGGAGGAGAGAGAGAGAGAGAGAGAGAGAGTGTGTGTGTTTTATAGAGAGAGATCAATCACATATTTCCAACCTTCACATACGGAACAACTTTGGGGACAGCAGATGTCTGCTGCAACATCTCAATGCACTCGCCTCCAATACAGAGATCGTAAGCTTCTGATAAAGCTTCAACTTCATTCTCACTACAAATTTATATGACAAAAGATTATGAAAAGCTGAAAAAGAATATGATTGAGCAATGTTTTGTTTATTGCACAGAAAATCTCAGTAACTCATCTTAATTTATTTAGAATTTAGTACTAAACACAGACGGGTAAAAAATACAATCAGGTCACCTATAAGGTAAACATGAATTAGTAACCTGATCAGAATAGTAACTTACCTGCTATAAATGGTTAGACTACAAAGATAGTGTAAAAAATCTCTACAATTTCAGCATAAAAAATTAAATCCATTTACGTGAAGAATATAACTCAAGATATTTACTACTCTGGCAAATCCATTTTGTTATTTTCTTTTAGCTAATTCTTCAATAAAAGAAAAAGCAAAAGAATGTTTGAGATCAATAATGCAGATTTCCAATCTTGTTAGTACGGCAACAAAGAATAAAAAGCAATTGTGGACGGCTCTACCCGGCAAAATCTTCAACAAATATAAATTACAGGTTAAACTGTATAAAAGCAGAATGCAATACTGCATCAAACAGTCGTTTTCTACCTGTAGCTGACTATCTCTGTCTCATCAGGAGAAACCCAGTCATATCCTTGTTTGTTTTTTGTACGTCCCAGAATCAGTGCCGGTTTTGAGATAATGTGTACTTGTTGAGCCACATGGCAAGCTGTCAAAGCTTGATCACCAGTAATCATGACCTATCAAACCAAGGTTATAGATGAGTACTGGAAGCTTGAAAGTGATAAGACCACATATCTAAATAAAACATCAAATTGTATAGTCTAATGTCTGTTATGTGTCTTTCGCAGTACTTCGACCTTATTCGGGAGCTTTGATTTTTTTATGAACAATTCTACTCAATATGAGCTACTTGAGACATCTGCATCATGGTTGATATTTTTTTAACGTGAGATGTTCTTGTGATACACGCTCTTCATTTGCTGATAGTTTTAGTGTTCATATATCCCATTGATACCCAATGAGACTCCAACTTTCCCTACTTATATGACACACTTTCGTTTTTGGGACATTTCAAGATATTAAATTTTTTGCATTTTTAAACAACTTTAACAACTTTTAAGAATTCACTTTATTGAGTTATTCTAATTTATATTTTGATGTGATGATTTCCCTATCAAACTAATTTTTAAACCATTTAAAAATTTCTTCCACTGTCACTAATATAATACTTAAATCAAATTAACGTTAAACTCTGTTCATTCAAACGCCATTATATAAAATGGACCAAAGAGAGTAATATCTTAGATTTGCCTCATTCTTTATTCAAGTACAAATCATAATTAACACCACAACATTGAACCTACTTATTTTAGTATGAATTGACAAATAACATAACAAACCCCTTATCTTGCTATGACTATAAAGCGCCTCTTAAATACTCATGTTAACAAAAAAACGTCCTTAAACTTTCTAGAACTAAACAACTTTCATCCTAACCCAACATCTGTCAAAAAACCGAGCACCTGCTCCTGTTCCATCAGAAGTGGATGCCTAGCAACTGGCACCAGAATATTGGGGATGGAGAACAGAGTGAAGATCTTCCAGAGAAAGCGCGAAGCTTACTGCATGTCTC